TCTGATTGGCTCTCCCAAGGGGTCCTTAGGAATGGGAACGCTATTAAGCCTTGGGCTAACCATTAAAGGAAATGCTGCATGAGTGCTGTGATCATATGTGACCAAGGACCACATGGCTTCTGATCTCACCAATGTAGCGACTAGCACATGTTGGCATGTTTTCTCAGTGAACTACAAAGTGTTGTGTGTGGTGTAATAGGCTGGTGCGGGTGAAGAGACAAAGACTTTTGGGGCAAGTTAAAAAAGAGCTCAAGGTTTAGCTGATTAGATCACAGAGTCAGAGAGTGCAATGAGGATTTCCATAATGCTACTTGATTCTACTGTGCGTAATGTAATGGTGTAATTTGAGTTACTTTAGGTAAATGTGTTGGTTGTCTTGGTATGAACTATACACTTAATATACACTGCTCATAGTTAACACCAAGTCATTTAAACTTCAGGTATATAAATCTGTCCATTTAGGAAGCACAAGTGATTGTGAACCAATCTCACTTGCTTTGGTGCAAATGAAAGTGACAACAGGTGCAATGGAAAGGCAAAACCACCCGTTAAAATGGAATGGTTCTACATATGGTGGAAGGTTTACTCTCCTGACTGATAGTTTTATGTTCTGATAGTGTCCTTGTCATTAATGGTAGCATGAGGTCGTACCTGCAGCCCAATCAGGTTGTGCAAGGGGGGGAAGGATGGCACATCCATACATGCAGTCACAAGAAGGTTTGCTGCGTCTCCCTTCACAGTCTCAAGAGCACTGAGGAGATAACAGCAGACCAGAAGTTACATGAGGAGAGCTGGACAGGGCTGTAGAAGGGTATCATCCCAACAGCAGGACCAGTATCTGCAGGCAGCCGGTGTGCTGAGTGACCAATCTGTCGAAAAACAGGTTGGCATGAGCGCCCAATGTCCTGTAGTCCTGTATGATCTCTTGACATTTACAATACTTAAGTAATGACCATAAATAGCAGATGATTGACGATACGATAAGATAGAACTTAATTAATCCCGAAGAAGATTCTTGTGCCAGGTTGCTCTAACATTACAGTACAAAATATGAGCATCAAATACACAATTAAAAAGTGTATATTAGAGTATTAAGAAGTCAGGCCTAAAGTCAGACATCATTGACAGAAGTATTTTCAGTGATATTTAGAGGTAAAAGTTCCCTAAATATCTTTTGTTCTTTTTCTCTATCATACACTGTATTCACACACATGCTGGCTCTCACAAACACTCCTCTCACACACCAGCTTCTCACACTAACAGCATACCAAGGCAGCTACCTCACCCCCTAGTTATCCTTCCCAGAGCACACAGCTCTTAAGCCATGCGTTTAGCGGAGAGAGCTGTGCATTATCCATTAGCCATGCTTCTTCTGGCTTTGATGGATCAAAGAGCATGTAAAGAGCTGGAGGAGCCGGGCCACTGCAGCAGAGACAAAACCAGCAGAGAGGAAGAGGACAGAGGGATGGCAGATGGAGATGGAGAGAGGAGGTCAGGGAAGAAAAGAAGGGGTGGGTTACGGGGCTAAAAGCTCTGTGAGTGTCACCAGCTGGACACTTGAGAGCAGGCAGCAAAGGGCGACAATTTAAGGAGAGTCAAAGAGAAACTATATAGAGAACACTCTTAAGAAAACATTTATGATTCTTTTTATTAGATTGGGAACTCTGCAGCCATACTCTTCTATTTTAGATTTTTTTCTGAGAACATATCAGCACCTGAGTTCAGATCAAGTTAGAACAAGGTTCTCATCGGTCTTTTGTAAAGGTATTTAGTTTCTGATGGTCACATGGAATGAAACCTGTGGCCTGCCAGTTGCAAGACATTTCACATGCAGGGGACCATGAAGACATGAGAACAACAGGGAGGTTCAGAAGGAAGAAGAAAAATAGAAGAAAGCCAGGTAACAAAGTAAAAAGGTTAGAGGAAGACAACCAAGAGAGAGTTTTGTGAGAAGGCAATTTAAAAAGGAGGAAAAGAAAGGGGAAGAAAGTAATGCCATCGAAGGCGAAGGAGGTGGAGAGGATAAACACAGGCTGATTACGGGAGAAAATTGGAACGAGAGACGAGAACAAAAGTTATTTAAAAGAGAGGAACAGGGTTAGACGGCCGGAAAGGTACAGAGGTCGGGAAACAAAAACAGAAGCAAGGAAGTAAACAGAACAAGATTTGGAAGAAAGATTGATGACGTAACTAAGGAGGAAAAAAGAGAAAGCTCACAATGAGCAATTTATTATAAACAGGGCAGTGTTTCAATCCTAAAGATCTTCCTCGGTCTCAGCTTAGGAGAAAAACAGAATAAGTAACAAGTTGTAATGGAGGGAACAAGGATGAACATTTTAGGAAGGAGAAAAGAGGAGACGAGGAAGGGAGAAATTATCTTACAAATAGAGAGAGGGAATCAGATGAAATTGAAAGAAGGCGAGGGGTATGAGAAGAGAAGGAGAGGACTGGGTGGAGGTCCATTAGCAGGAAGTTGGTGCGTAAGTGTTGGCCGGGGGAGATGGAATCTGGTGTCGAGTGTTTGTTCTGGCTTTGTGGCCGCCCTCTGCTGGCCCCTTCACTGGGCACATGGAGAGAGGGATGAGGAGGAAGAAATGAAAAAGTGATGCAAAAGGGATGGCCAAGATTTAGCCTGATTCATGCTGCATTTAGAAATAACAGAAGTGAAGGGTGCAGAGTCAAACTTGGATGGAAATGTCTGACTTTGGGGACTACTTCCAAGATTGGCAAAGTGAGGAGAAACTGGAACCAGAGTAGATGATTCCAGAAGGTTTTGATTTTTCCTGTTACACGCTACTTGAACTGTTTCATATTTCTGACAATACCACGAGATTTCATGAGGAGTTTTGTGGAAGCATGATGCGTTTGCTGACCGAGTTGTACCTTACCTGCCAAACCCTCCCCTGTTTCCCAGGACTTTTCGATTTCCTCCTGGCATAGAGGATTAAGTCAAGAGTACTATAGATAAAACAACCTATAGTACACGTATGGGTTTACCAACTCTGATTGATGAAGGGGTGATGCACTGAGAGAAAACAACAAAGGCAAAAAGGCTCAAAAAACACTAGTATTACTAGTATTTGCAAAATCATGTTCTGTGTGTGAACGCAGGCACACATTGTAAACTTACAGGTGTTGATTCTGTTACAGAGGAAAGGATTATAGTAAAATTTCCGTGTTCAACCCAACTTCCAACTAGAGGTGCGACATGTACAGACATAACAGTGTCATTCAGTAAAATGATTCACATCTTTGCATTCGTGCACTTCTGCAAGCTATGATATAAAAATGATAGAAGACAGACTGACAGTCTGGACGTTCTTCTGTTTATTACCAGAAATGGAAAGAAGACAGTAAAAAGGAAAAATATGGATAATCTTAAGGTCAGCCAAAAACAAACGGAGTAAGTATTTGAACAGGACTGGAAGAATACATTTGTTTGTTGCCATTTGGATTAGTTGAGCAAAATCACAGAACTAAGTAAGAGCAGGCAAAAGCCCAAAACTTCGGCCCTGCTCTGCAATCTTCAGAGAACATCAGCCTGATCCAAGGCTACATTTGTATTAGCATGGATGACTTTATTATCTTTGCAAAGTCAACCCCCCCCCCCCCCCCCCCTCAAAAAAAAGGACTTTCATATGTTCCATCCAAACACTAAACATTTTCCCGCTCACAATTAGAAAGAAAAGAAAAATAGAATGACACTGCCTTAGCCAGAGGGAAGGAAGGGAAATTAGAGCCTTACACATCCCAAACCTTTTTTCTTTCCCCCCTACAACACAGGATAAAACAAGGGATACATGTCCCAGTGGAGATGGAAAAAACATGAATTATCAGTGTGAGTCATACGGGAACACTGTCCATTTGTCATCTGATTACTGATTTTTTTCAACCTCAACCTTTTTCCTGTGACTTCTCTCAAACGTGCCAATTCTGGATTTAGCTCATTATCTGTCCTTTTGCCTTCCTGTTGACGTCTGTTGTGTGGATTCCTACAAGCAAAAGTAGCAGACTGAGATTGATGCTAAGGACAAAAAAAAAAGGGAAGAAAAGATTAACATGGGCTGTATGTGGTGACACACCCCCAAGTTCAGGACCTGAACTTGTAACTTCCCTTTTGTGCACAATGAGATATACAAAAGCTCTTGCCCTTTTCCTGGATCCAAATAAACAAACCCGAAAGGGCTAAGTATTGGGAACATTGCTTTATATGTGTGTGTGTGTGTGTGTGTGTGTGTGTGTGTGTGTGTGTGTGTGTGTGTGTGTGTGTGTGTGTGTGTGTGTGTGTGTGTGTGTGTGTGTGTGTGTGTGTGTGTGTGTGTGTCTGTGTGTTGCATGTGTTACGTAAGTATGACTGTGGACCCCTCCGCCCCCCTTCATTAGAGCTGCTGTTCAGCTCCTGCTTCCTTTGGTCACAGTTCATTGACCCATAGGCCCAAAACAGACATGGGAGTTGGGTTTGTGTGTTTGTGTGTGTTTCCGTTCCAGCGCTCCTCCAGCTGTGTAGCTGACTGGAACTGGCTTCAGATTTGAGTACACTTTTACATACATAAACATGCTCTCAAACATTAAGTGGACTTGTGTTTACGTGGCCCTTTAGTCGGTCTAAGTGGTTTTACAGACAGTGTTTGTGCTCTATTCATCATCGTGTTCCTCTTAAAAATGTCGCTATCTGCGTGTGCCTCCTCCAGTCCGGCTTCAGTAAGCTACACTGCTGAACTGTCTGATAAGTGAGATGTCTTAATCTTGAAAGGGCAACATTCCCAGCAGTAGTTCACAAAGTGAGAGTTTAAAGGATTTAAAGGAATATTTCAGTTATTTCTTCCAAAAAAGCGTGGAGCTTGGTTATTGTTAGTTGGTGTTCATGAAAATATCTGTGATGTAAGGTTCTTGGTTTTGTTCTGATGTTGTTGTCGGGACAGAAATGACATATTTCAAGTCATGTAAATGTGCTGTGTGTGTGAATAAGCATTCAAAGCGGTTGTCTTTGTGTGTTCCAGATGACCTCGGCCTGCGTCCCAGCTCCCTCCAATGATCTGGTGAGTCCTCTTTACACATCCATTTCTCTCCTCAAGCGTTTCATGCGTATAAGACCAGCTTTCCCTCTGCGTCTTAGTTACAAGGTATGGCTTCCCAAAACCACAGTATGGCTTCCTCCTGCTGAATTCCTTTTGGGAAGCCGAGCCCTCAACCAAGTTTGAGCTCGGTTCATTCCTGGAGCGCTGCAGGATTTCAGTACTGGAGAAAAAAAAATAGCTGATGTTGCTACAGGAAGTAGTAATGTTTATCCATTAGAGAGTCTGTTTGTTGAATTAACTCTCCTTTCCTTCCTCTGGATCCCCTCCTTTTTCACTCCTCCTCCTTTCCCTCTCTCACCTCCTCTCAACCTCATCCTTGCCCCACTTCCTCCTATCATCCTCCTCTTCACATTCTTCTGTCATCTCTTCATTTTGATCCTGTCGCTCCTTCATGCATCCAGCAGCGCAGAGGGACCGCTCCTTCTCGACACACCCAGCACCTGGTGAGCACACATGAACCCTCACATCCTGTCCCCTGGTCCTCCTCATCCCCATGTTTACCCCCTGCACCCCACCCTTATCTTTTCCCCCCATGGCACCTGTGTTTTACTGTCTTTCTTGACATTTTTCAGAGCTGTCCGTGATAAACTGTCTTTATTAAATGTGATTGAACATGTTTATTCTGCACACATCTTGTATTGCATTGTTAATGTTTGTATTTTCGCTCTTTATTTTATCATATTTTATTTATTTATCTATCTATCTATCTATCTATATATATATATATATATATATATATATAGATAGATAGATATATACAAGAGGTGGGAAAAATGTTCTTATTTAAAAATCAAGATTCCTATCTTGTGAGATTTTTAATAGATTCATAACTTCCCAAAATCTTTTTTTTTTTGTTGACTAATCAGTCACTCCCTGGTAAGTGCTAAGGCTATCTCTTTAACTCAAAATTCCATATAGAGCAACAAGAAATTCAGCCAGTCTCTCAGATGACTCAAGTAGATCCTGAAGTATGGACTCATGCTTTTTCATAGATTCATAAATAGACTTTGAATCGTGAGTCCAGAATCGTTTTGAATCGAAAATGTATTCTCAATCGAATCCTGACCCCAAGAATCAAAATCGAAATCGAATCGTCATTTAAGGTTTTGTAAGGTTATAAACCTGATTCTGGTTCTGTTACAAAATAAGCCCATCACGTGTGACTGCTAAAAGACTCCAATGTTCATGACATGTCATGCTTAAAGGACATGTTTTCTGAGAAGATAATTGGCTAAAGAAGAAGTTGACAGCGGTATATAAGAAGAAGAAGACAGGAATAATGGCGGACAGTGGTGCAAAGAAGTGGTGCAATGAAGTACGATAAAAGTGAAACTGACACTTAATTACAGTGAATAAATATATTCATGCACTTTTCCTTTTAATGGACATTTGATATTCTTCGGTGAATCAGATATTCTGATCTGTCACTTTATGATTGTCTTTCAATATGTCGATTTTCGGAGAATCGCTGCATCATGATATGATCTTTATCCCAGGCCACGTGTACTGTATCTCATAAGTGTATTGCATAGTATCACATCACATTTCAGACTTTAAAGTTCAATCAATTAATCAAAAAATTGCATCACATCCTGCTCCTTCTTTCTGCATCTCCCTCTATCCCACTTTCCCAACACAGTCTCAGCAGACGGCTGTTCATCATGATTCTTGTTGTGTTGAAAGTTTCTGAGCTGTTCCTCTCCACTGTAACGTTGCTAAATGTTGCTCAGTGCTCATGATGGATTAACGTTGGGTCTTTGTAGATAACATAACAAAGAGTAAGGGGTTTTACCTGCTCTTTTGTAAAGTGTCTTGAGATAACATTTGTTATGAATTGGAGCTATACAAATAAAGATTGATTGATTGATTGACCTCATTGCAGTGTATCGCATCTTATTGTATCGTATCTTATCGTGAGTTACTCTGCGACTCCCACCCCTAACCTGCTGAACTCTTAGCATGTCAACTTTTGACCTTTCAGTCAGAGCCATCAGATAAAGCTCCAGCTCGCCTTTGGCTAGCTTCTGTTATGATGCAACAACACAAATCAGCATATTCACATCATTGAATCAATCAGGAAGTACATATGATCTACGAGTTTTAAATGTGTCTTTGTTTTCTTTCCACAGGGTTCCACAAAGTCTCTGACCTACACCAAACAGAGAAACACCCTCCCAAGGTAAAGGTCATCTCATTCAGGGCTCATAAAGCATTTGATTGAATTGCCTGCTGCTCCATTCCCAGCAGGATATTTTTCCTGAAGTAATTTAAGGCATATTATATCACAAGGTTTCTACATATGTAGAAATGATCTTTTTGTTGTTTACACAGTCACAGCCATCTCTTCTTCTTCTCTTTCTAAAAGGTTTAGTGTCAGTCATGTGATGGGAGAAGTTAGCTTTTGAGCTAACCTTTGTGTGACACACATTATCATGTTTCTCTCTTCTTCTTATATTTTACCAAACTCTTCCTCCATCCAGCCAGACAGGACTTTTATGAGGCTGTGCAAGAAGCCAAACACATTCTGACCCACTGTCTCTCTGCGTGACCTCACAACCCCTCCTCTCTCCTCTCCTTTTTCTCTTCCTTTAGGAGCTTCAGCGTGGACCGCGTGATGGAGAGAGTGATGGAGCGCCACTACGACTTCGACCTGACCTACATCACCGAGAGGATCATCTCCGTCTTCTTCCCCCCGAAGCTCGAAGAGCAAAGATACCGCATCAACCTGAAGGAGGTGGCAGCTATGCTCAAGTCTAAACACCAGGACAAATTCCTGGTGAGGGAGCAGAAATGTAGTGCATTGTCTCGGTGTACTTTGTGGTTCTTTACAGCAGGGATTGTCCCTCCCTCCTCAGCGTATTTAGTTTAAATCAGCTGTTGTTTGCTGCAGAATAGACAAAGAAACATAAAGCCACAGGAAGTGGAAATACACTCAGCAGCCCACAAATTAGCAGTCTGTTTGTGTTTTCCTGGCACACCCATGATAAAATAAGCAAAATGATAACTGGTTACAGTGATAAATATCTTTTCTGTTTCAGCTTCTGAACCTCTCCGAGAGACGGCACGATATCACCAGACTAAATACAAAGGTAGGATTTTAGTCTTGATTATTTTTTTCTACTTTATTAAATTTAATTCACTGGCCGCAGTCAAACGCCCTCCAACAACCTGGTCTCTCTCCCTCTACACATTAACCCCAAGGTTCATGACTTCGGCTGGCCAGACCTCCATGCCCCTCCTCTGGATAAGATCTGTGCCATATGTAAAACCATGGAGACGTGGCTGACCTCCGACCCCCAGCACGTGGTGGTCCTACACTGCAAGGTCAGAGTTCAGGGCGGGACCAAGACAGATGTGGCGTTGTTTCCCAGGCCCCCAGCTGGCAGATTTATCAAAATAGAGTTTCATCTTTAATCCTTTATAGAAACATAATGACAACTACATTAGTATCAAGTAACGAATGAATACTCAAGTTGAAACACTTTGTGCTGTTTTATTGCTCTTTGATTCTGCATTTCAGTAGTTTTCACTTGAAGGTAGGAAACTTAGGTCTGACCTCATGGACAATGATTGGCTTATAAAGTTGCCTAAAGTGTTTAACATTGACTGCTAGTTAGCTGGTTGACGCGGTTCTTCATGGAGGACATACTAAACAATTGGGGAAGCATTTTTTTTGTTTGCAAAGTTAGAATCAAACCAAACTTGTGTGATGAGTCATTAACATTTAATTTATGTTTTCCTTTATGATAAAGTCTAAAATATTATTCATAATACCTAATTTTAAAAAAAGTGCCAAAAAAAGGTCAAGCTCTCTGGAATGAAGATCATTATAAATGATGTGTATTCCTGAAGCCTTTTCACACATGAAAAAAAAAGAAATTTCATGCCCAAGTTTTCAATCCAACCTTATCTGGATTTATTTCCAGCCGGCCCCCTGCTAAAATGTCCCATAGAAGCTGGGTGAGCTGATGTGTGAAAGTGGGTAATAATTCTTTGCGAGCAAGTAGGCGAGGTGATGATGTTTTTATCCCGTTACTGCTCTCAGGGATCTTTGGTTTTCCACTCACCACTATGTTCTAAAGTTTCACCATAATCTGAAATTCAATGATTAACCACAATTGACGAAGAACAAACCAAAGAATTTGAATGAAACTGTGTCAAGTTGACTTTAAACTTTGACATCATTTAGTGATTTATTGAAGTCACCCCGTCAGGACTGTAGGGGAAGTTTAAACCTTCAAAACAGCGAAAAAGGAGCACACTCAACAGTAAAACAATTCTTCAGGTGCACGATCTGTTGTCGATCTGGACGCCGCTGCTCTACTCGGATAAAAGAAACTTTGAAGGACATTTAGTGCGCTGACTCTTCTGTCTCTCTGAAGTTTAAACCACCTCTAACAAGCCATCCAACACAGAGAGTGAATGAGCTCCCACGGCTTCTCTGAATGTTTCATTTACTGGTTTTGGTTTGGAGGATCGCAATTCTAAAAACCAGACTTCTCTTCTGCGGTCTGTTGGCTTCCACAGCATACCAGTTTATTTCCCCAGCTGCAGATCGTGTCATGGAAGGGAATAAACAAGTTTTTTTCTCAATGAAGGAAATTCCATCGAGCAGCACAGTGTGGAAACATGCTTTAATTCGTGCTAAGTGTGGCGCTGCAGCCGTCTTGCTTGTGTCCGAAGGGTCACATCAGGAATTTGATGCTGGAATGTCTTTGGAATGTGTCAAGTACAGAGCGCCCGGTGTGAGGAGACGCGACAGGGAGCTTTTTAATTTGAACTCAAGCTGCTTGTCAACATGTTTCCATGTCTCTGCCTCATCCCTGTCTCTCTCTCTGTAGAAAGTAAGAGCTGCAGTCACAAGCGTCAGGTCTTTAAAGTGGGAAAAAAATCAGCTGTCCTGGTACAAACCGCAGAGCCTGAGGATAATCAAGAGACCTCTTTCACAGAGTCAGTTAAGAGGACCCTGTGGTGTTCAGCCAGTCTTAATGTTGGCATCAGATTTAGGCCTGCACGATATGAGAAAGATATGTGATGTGCAGACATTCAATATAAAAACCAGTAATAAAATAGTGCATATAAGCTGAAAGTCACAGTTCCTTTGTCTGTTTGCTGTTTAGCATGTAGAACACAACATACCTGTTTGCAACATGATTTTGTTGAATTCAAATGAAATGGAAACGATTTTTCTTTCACCACATCATTATTTTGTTATATAAGACATCTGGCACCAATAAATCTGAGGGAAGCTGATAGCTAGCTGGAGCTTCATCTGACTGCATTAAAAAAGTGTGAGATCATGGCCCTTAAACCCCGTCCTCTGGGAAGTGAAAACGAAAATGAAAAGGTAATGCAGCTAGTTTAGTTATGTGCATGGAGATCGTAGAGGTTGCATGCATACACTCACGGTGCTGCAGTCACAGAATACAAACGTCAATCCCCCTCCCATTGGCTCGAGGTGAATTCTCCGGATAATATCCTGTTGCGTTCTCACATCTCAGCTCACTCGGACTTGCTGCAGAAAAAAATACTAGGAGTCTGGCAGGAGAAACTCTGGGTGAAGTCTGAACAATAAATTTGTCTGTTTGCAAAATATCAGGAGTTTTTGAGGATTTTTCTGCAAGTGTCAAAGCCCTAGTACAGAGTGAGGAAGCATGGCCTGTTTTTCATTTAAAGTCATTAAATCAGACTCTTGCAATTGCTTAGTTTGTCGTAAAGGCTGTGATTAAATGCATTATCCTGCTGCAATTTGTCTAAAGCCAGATCTACATTTTAAACAAGAAAAACCAAAAAACTGTTCAAGCTATTTTAAACTTTTTTCAGCTTTAAAAATGACCCCTACCCCTTGTTGTTTCCATGTTAACAGTATGTGATACAGACTGACCAGTAGCTCCAAACATCTTTGGGCAACTTCGATCATATAATGTCTTTTTTTTTCCAACACATTCTAGAGAGAGTCATGATCAAGAAAGCTTTTTTTTTTCTAACCCTTGCTGATATTTTGGTCACAGCGGTGAGCGTGCCTCCTCTCAGTCTCTGCTTCAGGCAGTACCTTGTTTTGAATCAGTCTTTGTTAAAGTTTACCAGTGAAATGTTTTTTCTACTTTGAAAGGAGAAACATTTAACTAGATGACAAGGTCAGCCCTTTCTCCTTTTCAAGATAATCCAGACAGCCATGACATCTTTGTGAAACAGATTCACTTTGTGGTCTCAGCGTCACTTTTAAAGACAAAGTCATTGTCTTCTTTTTAGTACCAGCACATCATCATTGATCTCTTTCTCTCGTCTCTCTTACAGGGCAACAAAGGTAAAACAGGAGTAATCATTGCAGCCTACATGCACTACAGCAAGATCTCTGCAGGGTGAGTGTGTGTTACAGACATCTAAAGCTACAATTAGCATTTTCCTGTTATTTAAAAGTATTGAATTGCATGTATTTCTTAGTGTATTGAAATACAACTTTGCATCTGTTTCATCCACTGACAGTTGTGTTCTAAATTAAGAACATGCAGCACAATGATTTCCATTCAGACTCTGTTGATAAGTGCTGTGATTAATTATGCCCAGTGGACTTTGAGTTGGAAACTGGTTTATCCTGTGGCTGATGGCAGCTGTATCCTCTCCACATACTTTCTAGCATCAAGACAGTCTGGTGCAAGTCCCATGATGGAAAATGTTGGCTATAAGCGTGTGTGTGTGTGTGTGTGTGTGTGTGTGTGTGTGTGTGTGTGTGTGTGTGTGTGTGTGTGTGTGTGTGTGTGTGTGTGTGTGTGTGTGTGTGTGTGTGTGTGTGTGTTTGCAGGGCGGATCAGGCTCTCAGTACTCTCGCCATGAGGAAGTTTTGTGAAGATAAGGTGTCCTCTTCCCTCCAGCCGTCCCAAAACAGGTAGAGGCCACCGGATGAAAAGAAGGGAAATTGGGAGCAAGAGGGGTGAAGGGTAGGGGGTGACTTTTGAGAGTGTCTAACATCATAGCTGAGGTCAGTAAATGCATCCCCGTTAGCAGCCTATTCAATGGAAAAAGGAAACAGCTTCTAGCTTCCAGCTCTTCAATTAAATAAACTGAAGGATTTGATTTGTATTAAAAATCTGGTTCAGGTCTGTTCAAAGAAGGGCAAATTTTACATTTGTAGTTTGCACAGTTAGCATGCTGCCTCACTTTCACACTGTCATGGTTTACAATAACACAGAGACATTGTTTTTATTTATTAGTTACATCAGTGCTTTTTCCATTATGAGAATTTAAAATATTAGCTGCAAGATAGGCAAATTGAATTTCATAAATAAAAGTCAAGAAGGTATGTGACCAACCTGAAGTGTAAACTCTGGACAAGGTCAGGCTAGCACTATCCCTCTGCTTACAGGCTTAATGCTAAGCTAAGCTAACTTTGTCCTGTATGTAAGTTCATATTTAATGTACAGGCATTTGAATGGCTTCAATCAAGCAAGGTATCACATATGCATATCAAGGGGTAGTCAAACTTTTCATTAATGTTTGTTGAAATCCAAATCAAACCCAAAAGAAGCTTTTCTATCAAAACATAGAACTTTTCCTTTCATAGCTATTCTTACACATGAATGTTAGTATGAAAATGTACTGATGGTAATTGAAGAAAAATAGTCTCAAGAAAATGACACTAATTCAAGTCAATCCAACTGGGAAAGACAGGAAACATTTCTCAACATGAGCAGATAGTTTCAGGAAAAGTCAAATATTTGCTCTCTTTGTATCTGACTACCTGGCAACAGCTTCGTCTGCTTCTGGACTGTTTGCATTCTTCAACTCTCTCTCTCTCTCTCTCTCTCTCTCTCTCTCTCTCTCTCTTACTCTCTCTCACCATCTGTTATTTGTATTCCTCAAATTTATCACCCTTCTTTTATTTTATAAGGATCTCTCTCACTTCGTCCTCGTCCCTCTCAGGTATATCTATTACTTTGGAGGACTTCTGTCTGGGGCGATCAAGATGAACAGCAGTCCTCTCTTCCTCCATCAAGTCCTCATCCCATCACTCCCCAACTTCCAGGGCGAAGGAGGTGAGATTGTTCGAATGATTTAAAACCAAATCATCAAAGTGTAAAAAAAATACATCTGCCTGTTTGGTAAGTAAACATCATTATAGGTACAATGCTTTCCATTTTACAGCTTTAAAATAACTAAGGCTTTAACCCTAGCACAATATTAATACAATTATATTTTAAGATCACAAAGTCGGTCGTCCCTCAACCGTAATGTAGGAGGTTCGATCCCCTGCTCCTGCAGCTGCATGTCTGATGTGTCCCGGGGGCAAGACACTTAACCACAAGTTGCTCCCGCTTGTTTATGAATGTGATTAGTTACTTCTGATGGACACTTTACACTTTACAACCTCTACCATCAGGGTGTGAATGTGTTGGTGTGACCCGGGTTGTAAAAGCACTTTGAGTAGTCAGAAGTCAGAAGAATAGTGCTACACAAGCTGAAGTCCATTTACCATTTGCCATTTTTGATTTTTATATTTGACCTAGTGTTCCGTTATGAAGAAGTATAAACATGTACTGTAGTAAGAGATGTGGTGTTGTATTTAGTGGTCATTACATCATAACTGCAAACAAAGCTCCAAGGAATCAAATGTCACATGAGAGTTATTGGCCATCATTAAGTCATGTTTCATCTGACGCGAGAGAAAGGACATCTTGTTGTCCTTTAAAGCATGTTTCCTTGGTCTCCTTTTCCTGCACTTCTCTTAAACATTTGGAGAACTAAGATTGAGGAGAACATAAACACTGAGATCATCTGAGTCGTTCCCTCAGTCACCGATCTGTTGCCTGATCTGACTTTAACTGTTTCCAGATAAAGTTGTATACATGTCGAGATGGTTTGTGTTGGCGTGATGCTCTGTCAGGCTTCCCCTCCTGAATCAAGGCCATGCTGACTGACTCACCGCTCTCATAGATGGGCACATTCACCCACCGCCCACACAAACCAGTCTGTTTATCTTTAATCTGATCGTCAAGTCCAGAAGGCGGGGGTGGCAGTCAGCACATTCCTCCGTCCTCCACGTTGATAATGCCCCGCTGTGTCTAAATTTCTCTCTCCTCCCTCTAGGCTACTTCCCCTTCTTGAAGATCTACCAGTCCATGCAGTTGGTGTACACTTCAGGCATCTAGTGAGTGCTTCTTGCTGTCATACGCCCGGATGATAGCACAGATATCCAGGAGCCTAACTCTAGGTTCTCGGGTGTTTTCTTTTATGGGCCGAGGTTTGAACAGCGTCACAAAGTAAATAAAGAGACAGGAGTGAAGAACATAACACAAAGAGCATCTTTCTACTTGAACCAGACTTTTATAAGTCGTATCTTTTATATGTATCGTCTAGCTTCAGGCCTTTCTAAGTAACTAGTGTGATTATAGTCACTGCCAAATGAAAACTTTATAATGTTGAATAAATCAAACTCCAGCTGTCAAACATATATTCAAATGGTAAAATCATGTAAATCAATCACCCTCTGTTTGTGAGATTCTGGTCACTTAGTGTCTCTTCTTGAGTTTCCTGTGTTCTTCCAGCTATATAACTGGCTTGTTTGTGTACATTGTGTTTTCCACAGCGACCTTCAAGGCACCGGAGGCAGGCGGTTGAGTGTGACCATTGAACCAGCGCTGCTGCTAAAGGGGGACATCATGGTGAGGATATGACACCATTGTAATCATGACTCAGTAAATGCTGCACACACATTAGAAGACAAAACAAATACTTAACAAATCATTTGCTTAAATGTGGTCAAATGTGCAGTGCTCATCCCTGCATACAGATGTTGGTGTGAAAAAGGTTTTGTCACTTTGTTAAGAAGGAATGATCATTTGTTCCTTCTTGTGCAGTCTGTCATTTCAGAAAAGTGTAGGTGTCACTCGTGTTGGAACAAGAAGCCTCACATTTACTGACCAAACTGCTCATTCTCCCTCTTTCCTTCCTGTTCACCTCTGCTGCCCTCTGCAGGTCAAATGCTACCACAGGCAAGCTCAGAGTGCCGACAGAGACACGGTGTTCAGGCTGCAGTTCCACACCTGCACCATCCACGGATCCCAGCTCTGGTTTGGCAAAGGAGAGTTGGATGAAGCTTGTTTAGGTACGTTCATTAAGAAAGCAAAGAGGGTAACATCTGAGCAACATTTAAAAGTTGGAGGCGATAAACAATCTGACTCCTGAATGTATTTGAAATTGGTAATACATTTCTTGATAAACATTTCCTTTTATGGTAAGCACAGAGTCGTAAGCAGTTATCCTGTGAATTATTAGACACAGTTTATTATCTCTTTTTCCTTTCTAACGTTTTTAATCTTTTATTTCCTCAAAAGTGTTGCAAATTAGCGCCCGCTATAAACACTATGATACATGCATTGGATTGCTGTTTGCTTTATTGTCCTTCCCCATCAAATAAATCATAAATAAATAAAATAAATAAATACATGTTTAAGGCTTACCCTTGTATCTTAAATATGTGAAAGTTATGAAATGATCTTTCCAATGGAACACATTACCATTTGGTTTTATATAGAAGTAGCAACAACTGGTTATGAACCCACAGAGAAATATCAACCAACCAGACAGCTCCCTTTGTTTTTGGGACTAAAAGTAACACACACTCCACTCTTGTGTTCAAGAACAAATGATATTGCTCCCTTAAGGCCAGGGTGGATTTTACAAGACGGTCACTTCATTGGTTAATCGTCATGCTGGCAAGATTTGTTGTTAAATCATCGCCAAACACAAGTATTTTATATGCTAACAGCACTTTGGAAATTAGCATTGCAGGAATTTATTCACAGTGGTCTGTTAACCAGAACGGCCTCCTAATGGTTGAATAATTCCCTTAATAGAAGTAGCTAAGTCTCCATCTTGGGCGTAATAACAGCTCCCTGGAGGTTAGTAACAGGAGTGGGTTGTACTGTATGAAGGGATCGGGTGTTTCTAACTATCCTTCAGAGAGCGTGAAGGAGGCCTACTGAACACTGGTCTATTGCTTAAGTCTATAATGAATGTGGTCATTACCTCATTTCCTCTTGGTTTTAGTTTCTGTAAATGATAGAATACGAGCAGCTGAGAAACGTGTCTGTAAAGGAAAGGAGCTTTTCAATGTGGTCAATAATCCATTACACTTAATGAAACATTGCTAATATAAACACACCATTGTGGGTTCATACACCTAAAAACACATCTGTGGAAGGTAGTTTTTGTTTGATGTATTGGAGCGGAGACACTGCTTGATTCCTCTGTAGGGGTTTCCCCCAATGCTGATATCAGTTGAAGACTGTGACGTAGAAAGAACTCAAAACTCTTTAATTTGAGAAATCTTTGTGTCGCTTTATTAATTTTACATTTCCTTTTTTTCCAGATGAGCGTTTTCCATCTGATGCCACAGTGGAGTTTGTCTTCTCCTCCGGACCTGAGAAAATGAAAGGTCGGTTCACTGTTTCTAAATATCTGTTCTGCTTCAAATGTTTAATTCTGAATTGTGGGAAAAGGTCTTTATGTCTCCCCCTTTATTCATGTTATTCCCATCTCCATTTTCTAAGCCGTGTCATGGAAGATATGTTTTCTGCCTGTTCAGGAAAAGTTTTTCTAGTCACTGTCGTCTAGTGCTTGCTCGTTGTGAGGTCTCTTTAGGAAGAGTACAGTCTAGACCTTCTCTATCTAAATTATATAGTGTCACCAGAAAACTTTTGTTGCTATTCTGCACTTTTTAAATACAATTTGATGAATTAAAAACTAATGCAAACTATTAAACGTGTCCTTTCTCAGGCCGTGAGTACCAGAAGAACGACCCAGCTGTAACGGTCGACTACAACACAGCTGACCCAGTGGTTCGCTGGGATTCCTATGAGAACTTCAACCAACGATACCAGGACAGCCTGGAGGGTAATACACTAAGTATTCCATTCATATTCCCATCTCAGCAGGACGTTATGTGAAAACTGATGAGCTTTAAACATTACATGTCTGCTACAGCCCTAATCTGTCCTGTGGACAATGCAAATCCTCATCATTTCCAAGAACAGATAGCTTAGATTTCAAGTAGAAAGAGATCCTCAGACAACAGCTGTGAGAGAAAGTTCAAACAGGCTCATAATTAGCTCTGCATATAGCACTAATGATGTCATTTTGATTGCTGATGTTCCCTCTGTCCTCTTGGCTTAGATATCGCCCACACCAGAGGTCCTTTGGATGGTAGTCTCTATGCTCAGATAAAGAAGCGCCGAGGTCCTGGCTCTGGTTCTCTCAGCTCAACCAATGGCAGCAGCCCAGCAGGAGGCCTCGCAGAAGATAGGCCCGATCATCTCATCGCTCACGGCTCTGGCTCTGCCCTCTCAGCCCATTCCCTCCATCTGAATCAGTCATCGATCCCCCCCGATTGCTCGGAGGAGCCGGTTCGCCCTCCTCCCCCAACCCGACAGGAGAGAGAGGATCTTGAACGTCTTCTTGGAGGGATCGAGGGAAATCGAGATGGAGAGCGTGAGACGGCCATCTTGGATGATGGAGATTCTTTGCCCTCTGAGGGAACTGGGACGCTGAGTCGGCTCAGTCGGACCTGCTCCTGCCGGAATGGTTACCGGTCTCAACGCTGTGCCGAGCCTGGCTGCGACCGCACCCTCCTCATGCCTAATGGTTATTGCCTGGATCGGGCTCCTGGTACCAACGGGCACCACGGGGCAACACCTTCCGCCAGCCCCAATCCGGCGGCTCCTCCATCACACATGGATCTGTGCCAGCACTACAGCCCCCACTCCCACCAGTCTCTTCCACCTCCAGACCTAGTGTGGGACCGCCAGAGTGGCCCTCCGCACTACCTGCATCGCTCCTGCTCAGAGGCTTCCTCATCTCGACACATCTGTCCGTACCCATCTCCAGACCTCACCACTCATCCCCACAACCACCTGCATCATCACCCTCTGTCTGCCCCGGCTCGCGTCTACTGTCGTGAAGACGACTTTGGTCCCTACCACCATCCCCCTCCACCTCACAGCCACCATCACCCCCACCCACACCACCCCAAACCTGCCACAAGCCCTACGTATCACGACATAATGCTGATGGATGGTATGCCTCCACCTGGCTGTCCTTGCAGAGACTGCAACATCAGGAGAGAGGACTCTGCGGCTTACCACACCCTGAGGCTGGACCGCAGTGAAAGCTTCCACTGGGACAGAGAGGCAGAGGTGGGGCTAAGGAGAGCTAGGGAGGCAGAGTTACCCCGAGGATCAGAGCTCCAGTGGGAGAGGGATCCAGGGCTGAGACGAGGCAGAGACTTGTCCCTCCACTGGGAGAGAGACAGGGAGGCTGAGCTGCAATGGGAGAGGGATAGAGAGGCTGAGTATTGGCACAGGAGGGCCACTGTAGCCTCCTACGGCCCGCAGGGTCACGACCTTCCAGCCTTCACATTTGACCCTCTGCCATCAGGTCATCCAGCTTACCCAGAGGCATCAAGGTCCCATGCTCACTCTCAACTGGATCTGAAGTACAGCAGCAGCAGCAGCGGTTACCAAACGCCCCGGCAGGTGTGCCCCTGCTCGCCTTACCAGCCGTCGCCATCTGAAAGCAGAGGCTACGGCTCTGGCTACCAGTCTGAGTCCACGTCCCCGCTGCCTACAGGTTCCTGCAGCCATAGCAATGGGCAAGCTGACCACAGCCATAACCACCACCATCACCATCCAGAGTCACAGCAGTCATACGGCTCTGACTCACACACTGGTGAGTCATGTTAAAACAGAGACACTCAGAAATGTGCTTACTGTTAACAATGGAAAATGTATAAATTTCCCATAATCAACAACAGCATGTGTTTAATAGTATGACTCAACAGTAACATTGCACAATAACCACAAAACGCCTCATCTTGTAGCCTCTTTTAATGGCCAAGAACCAAATATCGAATTTGGAATGCTGATTACTACTTTTTGTAAATGTTCTTCATTATTTTTCTTACATTCCAGATGGCCTTCGTAGTTCTGGCGAGAGTGTGGGCTGGAGGGATCACATAACTCATGGTTCTTTTAAGAGAGCCCACAGAGACGTACACGCTGCATGCTCCACTCCGTCTGACATGTCTGGACCGTCCACTCCCGTCCACACAAGCAGCCCGCTGCGCACAAGGGAAAGGTATTCCAGCTGAACACCATTTTGGCATTTTTATCTTCATAATCAACTGTGTAATCTAATAAGTCTACCTACTTACAGACTGAATGTTACAGCAACCCATGACCTGTCTGTTACAGCCCCAGTCCAGGAGGGAGAGAGTATGAGATCCGGACCACTGACATCATTGACTGCGAGGGTTCCCCTCCCCAGGACGGACACTTTCATCCCCAAACTATTGTCCCGGAAAACCAAAGAAGCAGCCCAGAGCCATCCTCCATGCCTCAGGTGGCAAAAGACTCTCAGTCACACCCAACCACACCTTTACAAACAGAACCCCACAATCACTGCGCTGCACCAGCAGAACAGCACCGTATCCCAGAAACACCCTCAGCTTTGTCAGTACAGAACACTTCTTCTGTTGACTCTGCAACGCCAACCACGTCAAACCAGGGACTCTGCCAGGCTCCTTCATCCCCAATCCATGCTGCTCCTGCACCAGATACAAACTCCCAGCACAGACCTCTTACTATTCAAACCCCCAATCCTTCAGAAGCTGCTGCACTGGCTCAGTCTGTATCCCAGCCTCAGAGCCAGACACAAACTCAAAACATCGAATTGACAAGAACGACCCCAGCAGAAGTCATTGGCTCTTCTCCAACCAACGCATCTCACCCTGAAGCCCCCAAACCAACCATGACTCCTTCCCCCAATGCCACATCTGCCATTGCATCTCCATCATCCCCCCAGCCTGCCTCCTGTAGTACGGAGGGCTCCCCGGTCTCTGACACCCCGGTTCCTGGCTTTGCCACTTTGAGTAGGAGGTTGATGTTGAGTGCGTCTGACTCCCACAATCCAAACCACATCCAGGAGCATGGACCCACACCCCACCATTACCCAGGCATGGAGCACAGCCCTGCCAGACAAAATCCATCTCTCGACAACAACAAGAGGCTATGCTACTCCAGTCCAACTCCTCAGCTCCATTCGTCCTCCTACTCCAACTACTCCACTATCTCCATCCCGCTTCCTCACCCACAGCCGCCTTTGCCCGAGAAGCGTCACCCTCCAACCCAACCAGGTTCACCTAACGAGGCGGTAGGAAGTCCAAAGCCAGCTGTGAGTCATATACCTGCCTCCACCACCAGCAACGGCCAACATCAGCACCATGTCACATTCTCTCCTACCGTGGGGGAAATTGCTCCCCCTGCAGGCCAGAATGATAGAGAAACAGCCATTGAGACAGAGAGTGCAAACAGGGTCAGTGTGAAGTTTGTTCAGGACAGCTCAAGATTCTGGTACAAGCCTGGCATCTCCAGAGAGCAAGGTAGGTCCAATAGTGTGCAACTTCTTTTTTGTTATTAAGTAAAAAAAAATCGAACATAGTAATTTAACAGGACGAAACACTCCTGATATTTTGGTTGTGTTTGGTTGTAGCAATCGCAGGTCTGAAGGAGAGAGAGCCAGGAACCTTCCTGATCAGGGACAGTAACTCTTTTCAGGGGGCCTATGGCCTGGCCCTGAAGGTGGCTACTCCTCCTGCCAATGTCAACAACCACAGCAGCAAAGGTAAAGATTGTTCATGTCTTCTATATTCATCCTTTTCACTCTTTGGTTCATTCCTGGTAATGTGTGTCACATTGCACTTATTCAACGGCTGTTGTAGACTTGTTGGTATTTGCAGCTTATTAACAGTTCCTTTATTCTGTTACAGTGAACGACCCTCTGGAACAGCTGGTCAGACACTTTCTAATAGAAACAGGCCCTCGAGGAGTGAAGATTAAAGGCTGTCAGAACGAGCCTTACTTTGGTAAGATTTCCTTCTCCATCTTAAGGTTTTCCATCTTCGTCTGTCTGGAGGAAGTATTTTTATTAGCCTGAAAGGGAAAGTCAAAAGAAATATAATGATTATTTAATATGTTTTTTATCCTCAAGGAATGTAAGAGTTTTTATTTCTTATTTGTCACCAAAAGGGAGTCTGTCTGCGCTGGTCTACCAACACTCAATCACACCCATCTCATTGCCCTGCACGCTAAAGATCCAAGAAAAAGGTTGGCACACCTACTACATTCATATTTTGTCGATAATCTGTCAGAAAGAAGCGAGTAACAAAAAAATCATGTTTCCTAAAGCCAAATGGGACTCCTTGAAAAGACTTGCTTCCTTTTGATCAACAGTCCAAATATCCAAGTTAATGTAACAGAAGATTAACGTCACAATTCTTGGCCTAAAGCGACATCTCAGCTTTAAAAAAAAAAAAAGGAACATAAATGTCTCTCATGGTTTGCAATTGCTTTTTGTTTTCTGCATGTTTTCAAAAATCTGTGATAAATTTGAATAAAATATAAAAAAAGAAATAAAGCCTCAAACACAACTTTTAAACTTCAAGGGACATGTCAAGTATTTTAAATGAAACGGTTTGTATTATCTGATATCCTGATTGTTTATCATCTGTATTGTCATTAGATCTGATCGGAGAGGTGCAGGAGGTTCAACCAGTGAGTAACATCAGCACGGCTGCTGACCTGCTGAAACAAGGAGCAGGTGAGATCTCCGTCCAGTCTCACTTCCTAAAGCAGGCTGTTGTATTTCTTACAACAAAAATGATACAACGTGTGCGTCTACAGCTTCTACTGATGTTACGCAGGAAATATAAATGTTATAAAATAAAAGTAAGAAATAAGGCTGCATTCATTTACTATGATTTTACATAAAATTAACTAAACCTATAATGAATACAAACAATGGCACTGTTACAGGTCAGTTAAATAAAACTCTTGAGATCTGTCCGGTCTAACAGCTTTTAATGCCCGCCCCTCTCTCTCTCTGTCTGTCCCTCTTTCCTCAGCATGTAACGTCCTCTACCTGAACTCTGTGGAAACGGAGTCTCTGACCGGCCCCCAGGCCATCGCCAAGGCAACAGACGCTTCCCTCGGTCGTAATCCGCGTCCTGCTGCAACTGTTGTCCAGTTCAAGGTGACGTCGCAGGGCATCACACTGACTGACAGCCAACGCAGGTGAGAGACTCTCCAGTGGATTCACTTGCCTTTGACACAGCTGAGGTCTGAGGTTTTAGGTTTTTGGTTTGTCCATGCATACATCTGGCTGTCCAGTTCTTGTGACATCTCAGCAACACATCCATCCATATTTTTATCATCTATACCCCTTATCCTGTTCGGAGTCACATGAACCACTTGCAGCTGTCAGTTTGATGATCGTAACTAGGCAACAGCACTCCCCATTGCACCGCCTTGCAGCCTTCAGCAACACTTTTTAATTTATTGTATTACATGTTACATTACGAATTCATCTTAGGAGTCAATTAGTGTCTCATTTGGCTCCCTTATTAAACCTCTTTAAACCTGTTCTTCGTCTGTAGGTCCCCTCCTGTAAATGATCCGAGTGGCCTCGCTTGTGTCACCTGACTTATGCTGTTTAAATATTTTCAGTTACTCAACAATGGCCGTCCTTCACGCCTCAGTTTAACGGTCATTTTATGGAAAACACTCAAGAATGTAATGTGCAAATTGACTGGTTGGCCGAGGTGCTTTACCAAGTGGCAGTAATTTTTTTTAAATCATTTAATCATTTACAAAGTGTTCTTTTTGTTTACAGTCATCAGTAGTTTGTAGACATTTGATGGTGAACAGTCATTACTTGATGAATGATGATGGGTAACACAGCATTTTACTGATGAAATGTCCCTAAAGACCTGTTTTACTATTTCTGTCTTTCTTCTTCTAGGGTTTTCTTTAGGAGACATTACCCGGTGAACAGTGTAACTTTCAGCAGCATCGACCCTAAAGACAGGAGGTAGGCAGTCTAAAGACAAAGAGGATCTGACTCTTTGTAGCTTTAGTTGGAACCAAAACTAACCTAAAGTCTGCAGAAATCTCAGACACGTCATCACAACAATCAAACCATTCATTGCATCCATGATCACTGCATTTATTGCTGTGAGCCCTGGCATGGATCTGTTTGTCTGTGTTGTGAGTGCAGTTGTTCTCCTGAGTAAATGATGTGAGTGCATGTGATCGTTTTGTTTTGCGAGCATGCTGGCTGCGGCCGAGGCTGCAGCTGCATCAGCTTGTTTGGCAGCTCTGAATGTGAGTGCTGTGTCTGAGCCTGGTTTCTATCTCTTTCTCTTTTGGCTTCAGGTGGACTAATTCAGACAACACCACCGTTAAGTAAGTGCTTTGTTTGTGTTTGATGACTGGAAGAACGATCATATTTGTATGCATGTCTTCTTAAAAAGAGGGTGTGGCTCAAACTGTGACTAAGAAATTAGGGATACTTGAGCCTCTGCATGGCATCAGATTGCGTGCATGCCTTACCGAAATCATTCCTGCAAACATTTTTTAACAATGGAAATCAAGTCCCACATGACCCCATGATCCTGGTTCTAATGTCAGTGCAGACAAATAGAAAATGTTTGTGTAATTACCTTCCTTCTGCTTCTTCTCATGCTCACTTACTTCATGTCTCTGCCTTTTCGCTCACATCATTTTTTTGACATTTCCTCTCTCAGGGTGTTTGGTTTTGTAGCCAAGAAGCCGGGCAGCGTGGCAGAGAACGTTTGCCACCTGTTTGCAGAGCTGGACCCCGAACAACCTGCGTCTGCTATCGTCAACTTTATCAACAAGGTCATGTTGTCACAGCGCCGATAGAGGGAGACAAAGACACAGACACAAACTCAGCAGATTGAAGACAATACTGACAAGTTATTATTGTTCAGTAATGGCCTAGTATTGCTGTTTTCTGAATAAGTGCCATAATACTATGCCATAACTATTTTACCACACACAGTTTCTTATTATTGGTGTTGAGACATTTTGAAGGCGATTTAAAATCTTAGTCCATGATCCAGACTGATTGTTTTTCCACTCTGTCTAATCCTGAACAAGGATTGGTTGGCAGTATAACTCTACGTTTCATTTGTGATGAATGGGTCAGTGTTTTTGAATGAAAAAGAAAGAACACAGAGTTTCAAAATGACCTTGATGTTATCTGTAGACGAGGAGGTGTCAATGGAGACCTCCATTATGCTTTGAGCATAAACATCAACCAGGGGCCTGTACTATCAGGAACGATTAGTGGATTATTCATTTAGTTTTCAGCATATTTCATGTTTTCTGATATCCTGAGGCTGGAACATTTTTATCAAGATTTTCTTTTTGTGACATCATAAAAGGCAGTAGCCCCTCCCCCAGGTTAGTGACACTCCCACAGCTAGGTGTTTGTTCTGCTCTCTGAGTCTGCCTTCTCACAGTAAACAATAGCCCATCCAGAGAGGGGGCGTGGTCAGACACAGCTCATTTAAAGGTACAGACACAGAAACAGCCTGTTCTGAGCAGGGCTGAAATAGAGGCGTTTATAGACATGATCAAATACAGGATAATATGTGACCTTTAACATGTAAAACATCAATTATTATGTGTAGTATTTTAAAAACTGATAAGAATATCTCAATATTTTCTTAAACCCATAGCCTAATTGCCGTGATTGTTTCTCAAATTTTAGCTGATGACATCCTTAATCTCTCAAATCACTCTTATTTCATCAGCTTCTTACGGCCTCTGATGATCTTTTAAGGTCATTTTATGATTTATTTAGTATATACAATATTTGAGACATATTGCTCCTTTAATGGGTTCAATCATTCATGTTACTTAATTTTTCACCAAAGAGAGTTTGAACAACAATGAACTCATGGTTTGAAGTGGAGTATAATGACAGTTACTGGTTAGTCAAATCTGAAATACCAACCAAGTTTTAGAGTTTCATGTCACTTTGTTTGACACTTAAGTTTTAAATCATTCATGTTAGAGAGGAATAGACTCATCTGAAGACAAGTTTTCTTGTACAGTTTGTTTATGTGATGCTACATTCGATAATGCAGGTTTGTTATCAGAGCTGGATTGGAAAACCCAGATCAAATGAACATCCAGCTCATGATAAAAGTTATCAAGAATCAGCGACGTTAAGCCAGACTAAGTTGAACTTTATGACACAGGCTCCTGGTTGATTGAAGGTTATAAGCAGCTTTCTTAAAAACAGTATCTTGTTCTGTTTTGTGTCGAGTGTAACAATGGAAGTCAAACTTAAAGCAGCTTCGAGGACACACAGACGGTGTGGAGAGGTTACAAAGAGGAGGTTTGGTTGCACTGTTTCTGGACAACAAAGCCCTCATAATGTTTGATATTAAGACATCAATAATAACTGTAGGTATAAACAGTGAGTGTATATTTTATGTAATGCTCCTATTTTGTTCTCTGTATAAAACGGACCAAAGCCCTGAGGATGTAATTCAGTCTGTGTAAGATGTTCAGGTGTTCAGATGTATGTATTTACAGCCACGCTTGCCTTCCATCTTTAGAAGTGTTCAACTTTGACTCATGGACTGTCAGTGACAATCATGTTTTTAGTTTGTTTTTACCCACCTACACAATAATCAGAGAGAGAGAGAGAGAAATAACTCTAATGAAAGTAATCATGAATGTGAGGTTTTTAACCTTTAATAAGTGTGTGTATGTTGGCGAGGGAGTGGTGTGTGTTGGTGTGTTTGGAGGGGATTTAGGTAAACATGTTGGGCGGGGTTTTTGTTACGTCCACTTTTAAAGAAAAAGCACGTGGAATGTGGAAAAAGCTCGAGGAGGAAGGACGCACAGAGTTGAAGCACACCATTGCCGTGAAACATTTAGTTTTTCATTCACTTCTTTTTAAATTCAGACAGATTAAATAAACGGAGCAGAGACAGGTCAACACACACACACACACAGACGGTGGCCTGAAGACTGACGTACATAACCAAAGACGAAGCACTCTTGTATTAATAAGCTTTCATCCAGTTATATTTTTGTACTTATTGCTTCTTGTATTTGTACTATGCATTTATTTAGTGTGTTTGTTAAACCCAAGAAAAGCAGTCCTTGTATTCACGTGATAATATATTGTGGTCTGTTTCCTTGTTCTCTATATGATGTAGTAATATATTTTCACATGCAGCTATAGCAGTAGGACAGCGTATGAGACATGCAAAAGGAAACGTTTGTTTGGAAAGGATGTGATGCTATTTCGTATGCCAAACAATGAAGAATAGAATTAAACTGAAATGATGTGGTACCTAAAGGGCTTCATGGTCTCGTACTTTTGGGGGGTTTATGGTACTTACCGGAAACACATCACAACAACAAACACTCTCAGCTCGCACAGCCTCACTTTGAAGACTGATCTGTAAGAAATGTCCACAACCCGTCTCCATGGCGAGGTTCAGACGAGATGGAGGAGCTCCTTCTATATGATCAGAACAATTCCTTAAATGTCTTCGCTCATTCGTTAAGAGTAAGAACAGTTGTTGATGAAGTGAACTGGCTCCTTCAAAGGATGCTGCCTCCGAAATGACCTCTAAATATTTTCCACACAACAACAAAAAAACATCCACCACCATTTGTGTTTTTAATGACTTTTGTTTATTCACAACTCATTTTAATTCCTGTTTAAGAACCGTTTTATTAAAAAGTAGTAAAATCTTTCATACATAAATTTACAAACAACTATCCCTTTAAAAAAAAAAAAAAAAATCACAATATTTTCAGTCAATTGTTTTTGCACTATGAAGTCAAATGAATGACGAGAGAGAGAGATCTACAGAGAGGGGATGCTTCAAGAAAAGTCCTCCAACATTTACCTGCTGGTGTCACATCTTTGTGCTCCTGGGTCTGAAATGGACTCTGAGAAGTTGGAGGAGCCACAGAAGTGATGATTAAGGATGTTTTAACAAGAGAGCGAGTTAGGTGATCAGCGTTTAGGTCACTTCGAAATGAGATTTTTAAGCCATACCGTCATGAAAATCAAGTCTAAGAACACTGTCTCTCTCTCTTTTACGCCATGTGTGCTGAATACAGAATGCTGTCATGAGATTCTTTTTTTTTTTTTTTTTTTTTTTTTAAACTGTTCCTTGTTAAATATGTGAATGCCATTCTCAAAGGTAAGCGACTGTTAAATAAGAAAGGGAGCAAATGTAACAATATGTCCCAGTTTCAAGGTGCAAATACTAAATAATCCCTGCATTCAATCCACAACAGAAACAGCAGACCAGTTCCTTCCCTGTTAGCAGCATCTAGTGAAAGCAGTGTTATAACACAAAGGTCATTCAAGCTTTGCTGAAGGAAATTCTCATGATGGTGCAACAACAGCAGCACAGACAGACAGACAGACAGAGCTCTGAGCGAGCAGAGCCAATTAAAGGAAGGGCAGAAATGCTGTCCAGTCAACAGAGAATGTCGGCCATTTATCTTAAAGAAAAGCTCTTTCTCTGACATTTGTCCTGCCAACACAAAACACGGTCATGATGCGCCCTTGCTTGCGATGACTTGTTCAATTTTCTACTTTAGTTTTTTACCCATTAGAACATGTGACTCACTCTGCCTGAAACAGCAAAAGCATTCAGCAAATCACGAGCAGGAACAATGCAAGAAAAGTCTAAAAGTGTTTGGCAAGAAAATGTCCACCACGTCTAACAACCACCACAACAAAACCAGGCATCTGTCGCCTCTGGCCTGTCCAATAGGGACGGTCCATTCACCCATCTTTTACACGAAATTGCATCATCATTTACAGCAACTTCTTTTTGACCTTTTTTGCCCTGAGCTTAGAAAAAAAAGAGCACCATTTGAAATTGTTGCTGCTGTTGGACAGAAACCATCCTGGAGTGTGCACCAACATCTCCCACTTCCTCCTTAGGCGTGAGTCGTCTCTTTGCAGGGCTCATAGCAGAGGGGTGCCGAGGCTTAAGGCAGGTGAGAGGGTGGAGGAGAGGAGGTGCTGCTGGATGTCTGTGGTGTTGGAGCCACAGTCGATGTAGCGGTAGGCCTCCAGGCTGTTCATGGATGTCCGCACCATGTTGCCGGTTTTCACTGTGGTTCTGAAAGCAACAGGATACACAAATGAAGAGCACGCTGCTGCCACACACACACACACACACACACACACACACACACACACACACACACACACACACACACACACACACACACACACACACACACACACACACACACACACACACACACACACACACACACACACACACACACACACACACACACACACACACACACACACACACACACACACACACACACACACACACACAGTTTGCAGTTGGCTCTGTGCTATAAAAAAACAAGGGTTCAGAAAGTAGATACGCCGAGTCATTTCCTGACTTGGAGACTCAGTAAGTCTGAAGTGTCTTCACTCAAATGAAGAAGTAAATCTGAGCGCACATTTCGTTGGGTTCATTGAATATCAGACCTGGATTTCACAACACACGCCTTTAACCATGAACCTGCGTTTTACAGATGGACAAGCAACATCTGTTTTTTCCAAGTTGATTTTTGGGGCCTTTTTGTCTTTATTAGACAAGACAGATGAAGAGAGTCAGGAAATCTTGGGAGGAGAGAGACAGGGGTTGACATGCAGCAAAGGGCAGAGGTCGGATTCTAACCTACCTATAGTCCTCGCCGCAGCGACGAGGACTATAGCTTCTGTACATGGGGCACAAGACAAAACCACTAGGCTATCGGCTCTCCGAGAAACATCAGTTCTGATCTTTTGTCTGTTGGTGTCGAATCGTTACACAGCCAATGATACAAAATTTAAAGGAACTTATTATCAAAACCATGGAATTTAAAATTAAAATTGAATAAAACTGTGTTTCTTTGCTTACAAACATATATTTTGTTTTGCTTATTTGTTTATGGAGGAAGAAAAAGAGACCACAGGAGACAGACTGTGAACTATTTCCTACCATATACCTCAACGAATCGATGCAGGCACTTTCAAAATGTGATATTATTGTCATTTGGTGTGAACTATAAAGACAAGAATCCAGAGAGTTCTGGTTCACACCATGTCACACAACCTTCAGGAAGTGCCTGGTGTGGTCGGATCGGGTGGATTTAAACCAAAAACAAAGCTTCCTCCTGAACACGGAGTGACAAGGTTATGATGACTCAGTGATGTAGTCATCTTCTGAAGATGCTTTATCGCCTTACTGTAAGCCTTTATATGAATAATAATGTATTATGTATAAGACAGCATCTCTGCTTTGGAGACTTACAGATATTCCTCTGGAAAACATTAGAAGTGCTCGGCTATTAATCGAGTTTCAATTAAGATTTTGTCAAAATCATGAAAACAAGATCATCGAGGTTTAACGCAGATCGTACCACATGCT